GTAGAAAATAATAATCATTGTCATAGAGGTTGGTGAGAGATGGCATCAGGAGATGGGCCCAATGGAAAATTATGTTCAAGCTTAAATGAATTCGAAAAGCCCATTCATCTTTGTCTACCTTTTGGATTTTGAAAAGCTATCACATATATAAGGCTGATGATAAACACACCTCCATTTTTATATAAACACACTCCCTTTTTAAAAAAATATATTAAATCTCTAAATTACCCTTAATATTTTTTGGAACTTATAATTTTCAAATTTGTATCTCACTTGTTCTTTCTTTTCCCCGCTCCTCCCTTCTTCTTTCTTTTCCACCCATTTCTTCTTCTCTTCTTCGTCACTTTTTTCTTCGACCTCTACCTCCTCTTCTACCCCTTTCAATTTTTGTAATATCTTCTTCCTTTTTTGTTTTGTTTCGGAATGTACTTTCTGGAATAGTAAACTTTTTGTTCCGAAAAATACTTTCCGGAATAATAAAGTTTTTGTTCTAGAAAATATTTTCCATAATAGTAAATTCTTATTTCGGAAAATATTTTTTGGAAATGTTTTGTTACATAATTCCGGAAAGTAATTTTTATAATACTAAAGTTACTGTTTCAGAAAGTTCTTTCCGAAACTATATAAGAATCAAACTTCCAAAAAATGCTTTCCAGAACAATAATTTTACTATTTCAGAAAGTACTTTCCAGAATGCTAAAATTAACATTTCGAGTCTTATTTTCCGGAAGTATGAAAAATTTAACTTACGTGTTTCTTTATCTCCGTCATCCACCACCGTCGTCTACAATCGAAGTAGGTTAATTATATATTCCTGTTGTCCATAAGTAATGTTAAATAAGTTTAAAAAAATTATAAATATAGAATGTAATTTAATATATTAAATTACATAAGCCAACTTCATAAGCCAACTTCCTCTCCTTAGAAGACCCTAGAACAATGAAGATCTTCTCCATCTCACTCAACCATTGATTTGTCACATTAGGATCTGAATCCCCCTTAAACTGAGGAGGCTGACATCCCCCGAACTCTACTAAATCTCTCCCATCCTGAGAGACCATCGGCTACTCTGTTGCTGCATTGCCATGGCCATCATCTCCATGACCCTAGCAATCTGGTCATACTTAGGCCTCACCATACTGAAAGAATCCAAAACATTCTTTTAGTAACATTATACCACCATATATCACCAAACCTAACACATATAAGAGATATGACATAATAGAAACCTAGAAGGATCACTCTTGTAACGCTATGAGGAGTGATCTATTTATTTTAGGAATAAGTCTATCTAGATTTACTTTATTCAATAATTCAAATTTTATATCAAATCTTAACAATCCAACAGTTGAATTTAAAGTTCTTAATGTACAAATAAAGAGTTTTTTATTCAATTAATACTATTTTAAAAAATATTTACCCAAATAGCAATTGTGTAAATTTATTTCCCATACTAGCACTATTTACTATTTACGTTCCAGAATGGACCGTTACAGGTTAAAAATAACACATGACGAATGGATCAGAACGGGTCGTTTTGGATTCAAAAAATGAACATAAAAAGTAGAAAATAATAATCATTGTCATAGAGGTTGGTGAGAGATGGCATCAGGAGATGGGCCCAATGGAAAATTATGTTCAAGCTTAAATGAATTCGACAAGCCCATTCATCTTTGTCTACCTTTTGGATTTTGAAAAGCTATCACATATATAAGGCTGATGATAAACACACCTCCATTTTTATATAAACACACTCCCTTTTTAAAAAAATATATTAAATCTCTAAATTACCCTTAATATTTTTTGGAACTTATAATTTTCAAATTTGTATCTCACTTGTTCTTTCTTTTCCCCGCTCCTCCCTTCTTCTTTCTTTTCCACCCATTTCTTCTTCTCTTCTTCGTCACTTTTTTCTTCGA